TTTTTTTCTTGGGATGGAAGTGGATTTCCTTGTTCTTGTGCTGGTTTTTTATGTATTTCTCGTAATTATTTTTCTCCATTTTAAATTATTGGCATATGCATTCAATGGACATATTTTAATTAAAATGTTTTTGTTTATTTACACACAGGATAGCGAGTCTGATGATTTCAAGAAAAAATATGAACAAGAAATATATGTTAGTGCAGAACAGGATAGGGTGGAGTAGAGATTGTTTGGAGATCGTTTTCCCCGTAGAGGACGGAGCTGATGACGATGGAAGTGCATCGATATGTTAGTTAATAGTTTAAATTTTTAACGTACAATAATAGATATTATTATTGAGATGTTTGAAAAGTACATGAAGTTTTATTTTGTTTTATAGAAAATGTTGAAATTCTTGTTTTGCGGAATACATGTGTTTGAGTATGTTTGAGTATCCCCGCTACATTTGATAGTTAAGTTGGTATGAAATTGAGTATGCACATAGTACACCGTGGTTCTTTTCAGCTTCTCCAACTGAATATCCCGTTGCACTCAAGATGTTACTATTTTTGGTTGTAAATCTTAGCAATGGAAAAATTGTTGCATTTTTCCGATGCAATATTTTGCAACGGAAAAAAGAGTTGCAAAATTTCGTTGCGTTATGTTGCAACTAAATTTCCATTGCAAACATTAGCAACGACATTTCCGTTGCAATTCTTCTGTAGCAAAATTCTGCAACAATAATTTCTGTTGCAAATTTCCGATGCAATGCTCTGCAACGGAAAATCTGTTGCAGAAATGAATTTGCAACAATGGTTTTTGCAACGGCAAATGTGCAACGGAAAATCTGTTGCAATCATCATCAGCAACGGAATAATACAAAAATTGCAACAGAAATTGCTCTTGCAATTCCGTCTAATTCTTGTAGTGTAATAAGTTTAGTTACGTGTTTAGCTTCTTGTGATTTACTATACGATGAATCCCTTCATTTTTTAGGCGTTACAAATATCTTTAATTACCTTGATACTACGTATGATTTATTATACATTAGTTGACCACTTACTATCATTTCTTGTTCCAAAGGTGAAATCGCTCACCCTGGGCACCCCTCACTCCCTGCCCGACGGTATTGTGAGAGAATGTAAATCATGGTGACTCAACCGGCAACAGAAGTCAGGACCAGTGTTCACACAAGAACTCCCCTCACAATGTGTCTTATATATAAAGAATAACATTATAAAGAAAAAGTAATATTAGTGATTTCTAGAGTGACAATATTAATTCGTATAAGGATGAATTTATATAACACAAATATGGCAAAAATTGAATCCAATAAAGATAGTGAGACAAAAAAAGTGTAATAGAAAACACAGATATTACTATATTAGTGTTACATATTCTATGTGTTTTCGTTAAAAAAAGTGTCATGGAGTACATACTATGTTGGACAATGTAATGCCGTAATTGTCCTGTACAGACGACATGAATGAGGTGGAGTTGTGTCAAGTTCGAGTCGAATGACGGGGAGTACATTGGTTTAAAATGATTAGATAACTACTCATACCACTCGTGATGCATGCACTATTCTTTTCGATACCTCATTTGAGAATAAATTTAAAAGTTAAGTTTACTTAACTAGGAACAATTTTATGAGAACTCTCACAATGAGCATATGAATGAGGTTAAAGCATGCTAGAAAAAAGTTTATTTAATTAATTTTTAATTATTATTAAGAAAAGCTTAAAATACAATTTATATATTTTAAAATTACATTAAAAATGCTATAAAAAGTTCTTAAAACAAGTTTAATAAAATAAAAATTGACCTGATTATTTTAATTATTCCGTATTAAATGACCAAGAAAAATGTATTCCTTCCATCCCAATTGCTTTTTTATAGTTATTGTTTTTTGTTCATGTGGTCAAAATGTTTCATTTTTATTTATATATTTTTATTTATCTTTTGATTAAACATTACTCCGTAAAATTGTGGTACCTCTTATTTTGTTAAACATTTTATGTACTTTTTCACTACATATTAAATAAGTAAAATAAAAAAATGGTTTAAATCAAACATTGTAAATTAAGACTGAGGGAGCATAAGAAAATTTAATACTTCGTACTCCGTAATAATTTGACTAGAATATAATTTTGGGACATTGGAAACAACCTTTTCATTAACATTAATAATTTGGATAATTTGTTTAATGGTAAACTTAGCTTTAAAAACACTAAAACTAAATAATGTCGTTGATAGCTTATTCAAAAAGCTAAAGCAAAATGTTGAAACTGTTGTCATTCAAATGTATAGTGTACTAGTGTACTACTATCTTCATCTTTAAGTATTTGTTATGAACTTTGATCATTAATTAAATACAAATTATACTATTTAATCTATGGGTACAAAAATAATTTAATTAGAATAATCCTTTAAAATATTTTTAAGAACTATTTAAATTTTGTAAATATGTAATGTAATTTTTTTTATTATTGATAATCAAAGTGAAGAGGGATTATATGTTGAAAAAGATTCATAATTTTATGACCCAATGTTCACTGGCCTGCAAAGCCCATGGCGCGACCGCCCGATACGTAAAATCCACCACGTGGCGGCATCAGAGCCAGCATGCCAGTGTTGTGTGGCCCACTCTTCACCGTAGAACCGGTCTTCATGGTGGGTTTCTGTGAGCAAAAATCTCCAGCCCGCTTCCGACCATGATTTACCGACATGTCCGGTCACCGTGGGAGTCAATTCGATACAATAAGAACTGTCGTTTGGGGGTTTATGGGGTATTTGGATGGGGTTTAACATCTCACATATTCCGTTTGGGGAAAAATCTCACAGATTTCGCAGAAATGGGTTGAAACATTGATTTCTTGTTTGATCGAATCAGGAAAATTTCAGGGTTTTTTTAAAAAGATTGTTTGTAAAGATTTGGGTTTATTAGGATTCGCAGCTTCGGAATTTCCCTGCAATTATCCAATTTGGAAGGTTGGTGTGATTCGTTTCTGTCATGTTTTATAGCAAAGTTCTAAAAAAAAGATTGAATCTTTTCTCTGAATTTGTTTTACCTTGTTGTATAACTTGTTCATGTAGAATCTAAATTTTCATTTGTTATTGTTCTTTGATCTACAATTAAAAGTTTGGGTTTTGTTGTTTCTGTGCTTTGATGTGTTTGAATTTTCATGGTTGAAGAGTAAATCCCACATTGACTTGCTTGTAATTTTGGGCTACTTCTACGATGACATTGACGAATCATTTTGAATGTGATTCCAAGTCTTACATACTTATGTTGTGTTTTGTTTTGTTTTGATCATATTGCAGAGTTTCATTTTCGTGGGCTTGGCGAATGTAGTAACTATGGGTATCTTGGTATGAAGCTTTGGTAAAAGAATGCTAGTTTTCCAAAGTCTTTTGAATCCTTCGTGGCATGGTTGGTAAGATATGGTGTTTCGGGAGAGATTACATCGTGGATTTCATGGCTTTGAGGTGCCTCATGCCCCGCGATCTACCAGATCAGCTAGGGTAACTATAATTTACCTTCATGGGGTTATGTATTTACAATTACCTCCCCTTACCAAATACCAATGCTACATGCTAACTTTTCTTACCTTTCAGAAGAGGGGCATCGGTTGGAGGAGAGGTGAAGAGAGTCAAATGTGTGCATTTGACTTGTTAGCTACCGTTGCTGGGAAAATACTTCGCGAAGATGAAATTTCTCCTATTTCGGATACGCATACGCTTGAAGAAAATAATGTTGAGCAGAGTTTCTTTCTTTCTGAGCTTGTCTCACAAGAACACATCCTAAATAACCATAGGGATAGTGTGTCACCTATATCTGTAATAACAACTTCTGATAGCTCAGACAAGTTTGCCCATGTGGAACAACAATTGGCATTCAAAGACTCTTCTAGTTGTAAATTAGATATTGGAGTCGGGAAACCTAGAAAACATGAGGCGTTAAAGAATGGTAAAAAGTTGGCTGAAAATAAAGCCGGTATGTGCAGTTTGGATCTCATTCACCCGGATAGAAAATCCTCTTCTTTTGTTTGTTCTGACAATATTGTAAAGTTGACCTTGTCTACGGAACATATGAGTCGGGACAATGGACAACATCAACAACAACCCAGTAAGGTACCACGACAAGTGGGGCCCGGGATGAGTACGGATTGTGTAGAGTTAGGTAATAATGATGATGACGAAAACTCTTTTTGGTGTGTCGGAGGTCAAAGGCTTGCCAAGAAGTCAATGGCATCTCCACACCCAAGCGCTGGTGAGGTTTTGCTTCAGTTAGTATTCTTGGGGTGCAGAGTGAATTGCTTCATGTATAATGTGATATTACACTTTTGTCCACAGATGTTGAAACAGCAAAGCATGATTCAAGCAGTGATAATAACAGCGTATTGAACTCTGGAAGGTCTCTCAGAGATTACCCTTTCAAGAAAAGGAAGCTCTATGCTTGTAGTGACGCGTCCAATTCTGACAGAGGGAAAACTAATGATGGAATTTATAGTTCTAATTCAAATGATGGAATAGGTCGTTTCTTGTTAACATTGTTTTTAGTACGGAGTAATTTATTCTTTATATTTTCCTATAAATAATGGCCCCAGAGCTCTTCTTTTTTCTTGCTTGGTTATAAAATTGTTTTTAGTACGGAGTAATTTATTCTTTATGTTTTCCTATAAATAATGGCAAAAATTTGCACTTGCTGACATATGCGTTTTATTCTGACAGAAGATCAAACAGTGCACGAGCCATCGAACTCTGCAGCAAGGGGACGTCCATCCTTTAGGTCAGGTGATTCCCGAGGTAAGATTTTTTTTTCCTACAATAAATGTGTCGAAGATTTTACCACATTTTCTAAATATGAATTAATAGGCACACTAAAATAAGTGGTCAACAACCTTTGCCACTAAAGAAAGCTCTTTTAATTTGGAGTTGAGCCAGGTGCAACACTTATTCTTAACAGAACTGTTCAATTTACTCAGTGAAGCTTGGAATCAAGTCTTTCAGAGTCCCGGAGCTTTTTATAGAGATTCCCGAAACCTCAACCATTGGCTCCTTAAAGGCTAGTGAAGAAAATAAATATGAATTTGAATAGTAATAATACTAATAAATGCATTCGTTAATTTCAATAATGGTACTGATAAATATGAGTAATTTCTATAGAGATCGGTTGTGGAAGCTGTGTCTGCAATTCTTCGTGGTAGGCTCCGCGTCGGTGTGCTTTTTCAGGGCAAGAAAGTTAGGGATGACAGTAAAACCTTATTGCAAACCGGAATTTGTCATGACAGTAAACCCGATTCTCTGGCGTTTTCCCTTGAACCCGTTCCTTCCCAAGAGCATCCTTATTTACTTCCTCGTGATGCACCTCAACCACTAAGAAGGTATTTCTTGCTTCTCAACTACTGTCTTCGTCCTGTAAAGAACTTCATAATTTGACTTCACGGAGTTTATGAAAAGAAAACTAGTTAGAATTTGTTTGGAAGAGAGAGAACTATTGTGAGCCACGATCCGGTTGTTCTTTGTGGGGCATCTGCCCTACTTGTTAGGCTGTGGTAGTCTGTTTGGGGTTTGGTTTGGACCCAAGATATGTGTTTCATAAGATTTGTTCTTTTCAACTTTTTATTTTAGTTATCCAGACTACAGATTCCAGTTACTTCCTCCTAGCTAGGTCATACTCCCTTCGTCCCAAAAAATAAGGCTCCCAATTTGACTTGTCACAAAGTTTAAGGAAAGTGAAAATGTGTGGTTGAAAGTGATGCAGACTAGAGAGAAAGATTGTGAGCCACCCAAAGTTTTCCTAAGAGGAAAGAGGAGGCTTTTTTTTGGAACGTCCCAAAAAAGGAAATTAGGAGTCTTTTTTTTTTTGGGATGGAGGGAGTATTCTTCTAGATTAAGAGATATAAAAAATCAAGTTATAACACACATTTCTTCCACCAGGTATTCACCTGCTCGAAATGTGGCTGATAACGCACCACAACAGAGATCAGTCAATGCATCTTCAGGAACACATTTGATCAATTTTATGGAAAGCGATCGCGATTCTGCCCCATCCCCTCTCAGTACATCCTCACTAGACAAACATGCATCGGATTCGAGGGCGTTGGCCCCTGTGAATGTGGTGGACCCCACACGTGCCATAGTTCCAGCGAGGAAACCGAAGAGGTCCGAGGCAGCTCAACGCCGGATTCGTCGGCCATTCTCTGTTTCTGAAGTTGAGTCACTTGTCCAAGCTGTCGAGAAGCTCGGAACCGGAAGGTATTGTCATTGGCTTGTGAGAGTTACAGTCACAACTCTTTAGGACCCGTTTGGGAAGTTCAGTAAAGGCTAGGAAAATGAAATGTGGGGGAAAATAAAACATCGGTTCGTACTCACATTGGTGTTACTTGTTTTCGCAGGTGGCGTGATGTTAAGCTGAGAGCTTTTGACAACGCCAAACACAGAACTTATGTTGATTTGAAGGTAAGAATTTAGACGATGTCAAAGGTACGTTAGATGGCATATGAGGGCTCGTTTGGTGAGTCGCTCACCAAACGAGCCTTGAGATATGGTCAGAGTCATTTCCATGGACGGTCTTTGTTTTAAATTAATAATACTCCGTAATATTAATAACACTCCATCTTTCCCAAAATAAAAAATGACAGTTTGATTTTTGCAAGCAAACTTCATCCAATTTGACCACCATTTATTCATACATTGTAATGTTTTGTGATATGAAAATTTATTGTCTAAGGCAAAAAAAAAACGCATCTTGAAAATGTATAATTTTGATATTATTTTCTAATTTTTCCATTCATTTATAGGTAAATTCTTTCGGAATCCTAAGGTTCACACTCAGTTTATGGATCTTAGTATATAAACGCAATGGATGAATTGGATTCTTTGAAAAAATAAAAGATTTCCATGTTACCCCACCAAAAGTGTGAGAAGGTCTACATTTCACATGTGAATCTTAGGATCTATAGAAGCACAACTCTACTTTATAATACAATAGGATATGTTGTGTAGGATAAATGAGTTACAATTTGAAAATAATATCAAAATTACCCATTTTTAGGCCAAATTTGATGAATTTTGAATGTAAAATCAAATTGTTGCCTTTAGTTCAAGAGATAATAATAATAATAATAATAATAATAATAATAATAATAATAATAATAATAATAATAATAATAATAATAGTAATAATAATAGTAATAACAACAACAATAATAATAACAATAATAATGCACAGGACAAGTGGAAGACGTTGGTGCACACGGCAAGAATCTCTCCTCAGCAGAGGAGAGGTGAGCCAGTACCGCAAGAGCTCTTGGACCGAGTCTTGATCGCTCATGCCTATTGGTCACACCAGCAGGCTAAGCATCAAATGATGAAACAAAAGGAGGCCGAGACGTGCCTTCTTCTCTAATACCGCATATATATATATATATATCCATCTCCTCGTCCTCTTTTACGCTTTGTTTTGTAAAAAAAACATGTGTATGATGATGCACTTGTAAAGTGATTAATAAGTGCTGGCTGACAATTTTTTTTTCCATCCATAAATAAGTGCCTTTTTTGGATTACATTCTAGCCATCTTTTTGCAAAGTGTAGAGCATATATAAGTTGTAATTAAGGCAGCTTTGTTCAGCTGGTGTACATAAAAAACATGTCTTGTGAGGAGAAGTATTTTCTTCTGCTTGATTAATAGTGTAATAATCTCCATTGCAGTATTATGGCCTTATATTATGCTCTTATGAGTTTATGGTAAGTTCCACCTTTGTTTGGATTAGGGTTGTAGTGATAATTTGTTGCATAAGGTTTATATGCAATAGAAAGTTCACTTTTTTTTGAAAACATAAGAAAGTTCACTTTAATTTCACAGAGATTAAATTTGTTGAAGAGATGTTGAATAGTGAAAAATGAATGGGTAAAATTCATTTAAAAGTTAAATATTTTGTACCATATTCTTTGCTAAAAAGTGAAAGAGAAATAGTGAATTATTTGAGATATGAAAAAATAAAACGGGAAATTTTAACTCAGTAGGCAAGCTACCAAACGCAGTGGGGTAAGGAGTGGGCAACCCTTGCCAAATTTCAATTATCACCAAAACCGAATAATAAAAGAGGAAGGACCTAACCGAGGCTAAATGCCAACCCCTCGTACCAAGGACAGACTCCCCGGGGATTATAATAAGAAACAAATAGAAGGGATGAAGAAGAACCCTAAAAAGGCTTGATTAGAGAAACAAAAAGTCCTACTATCAAAAGCACCTTGTTAAGTTAGGGCATGACCAGTGCCACAAACAGGTCTAAGGTACAGATCAAAAACCAGATACTTAAAACCAAAAGCCATAATATCAAAAACCGAAAACCAAGGTCTGTGTGTTATGGTTTACGGTTTAGGGTTAAAAAGAAAGCTTTTACTTTGAACCAAAACACAAACAAAACAAAAGAAATCCAGTCAAGTGTCAACTGGAAAAAAAGATGTGTCAAACATACCCAACAAGTCTAATTCTCCCTAGATCAGCACAACCCAAACTAATGCCCTCCACAAGAAGGGTTGCTAGCTAATGAGTGAAGATCTGGCATTGATACAGACGACAAGACGAGGGAGAAGACTTTGTTAACTACAAAAAAAAAAGCAAAGTTTCATGTTGGAATAGAAAGATCGTGTAGTTGCATAGCTAATTTTTTTAAAATATAATGACTGGTTCAAGAGATCTACCTCAAAAAGAGCTTGTGTTGCATAGAGCGATATATCTATCTATCTATCTATCTATCGTAGTTTGTGCGTTTGCTGCGCAGGTACCCAGCAAGCACTACCACAAAGAAACCGACCTTTCCATCCATGCCGTATCCAAGGACCATCTTCATCAAACAGGAAATCTTTGTGATATGCTGCCTTCATCTTGCCTCTCAACTCCTTCACCAGTTCTGGGTTCAAGGGGAGAGGCTTGAACCCAGCCCTCATAATGCGCGACTGCCACTGCTTGTATGTTTCAGGCCTCTCCACTCTTTCTGCGCCCTCACATGCAATGATGTTCACAATGTGACGCCAGACAAACCGTTGCTCGAAATTCACTCTATCACGGTGGTGTAAAGTCGCATCAGACAAATCAAAGAGATCAGAGTAGAAGCAGAGGGCCTCCCGGAACCGGGTTAGAAAGAAATGAGAGTTGTAGGATCCTACCATTGTAGCTTGCACGTATAAATGAGGATTTGCTTCCCTGATTAAGTTTAGAACATCATCCTTGGGGCTGCGCGAAACCAATGCTCTCTCATCCAATAGGTATCGGAAACGAAACAGACTGTTAACAACAACCACCTCACCACTCATAATCTTCAGGTCATCAATCTTAATTGTCTCCCAGTCATTGCTTGTTATGGCATTGTACTGGAATGGCACGCCGAAACGCTTGCAGTAGTTCGCCAAGCGACTACCAGTCTCTTCAACCATTTGTGCCGGACGAAAACCAGGTTGGGGAAGCTCAATACCAGTTATTCGAAGTTTAGGTGGACCACCGGGTCTTTGTGAAAGATCCCGGATAAGAGTGGGCCACTGGATGCCATAATTAATGCCAAAATCTATTACATGCAGTGAATTGCCTTTTGATGCTACATTGTAGATCATTTTATTCGCAAAGAAAATCGAAACCCTCATGACAGGCCAAGATGTAAGGTGGGTTTTTAACAATTCGCAAACGAACTCTTTATTCCATGTTAAGGCCGTATATAGTTGTGTACCAGTTCCATTAAGCCGAGCCTCAAGAGCATTTGCAAATGCATGAGCCATCCTTTGGTATGCATTGCCAGTAGGTGATGAGTTCTGCCTGATCCCTTTCAATAGCTCTTTTGTCGTCCCGTGATCAACAGCAGCAATAGATTGTGCACAGCTGACTAAAAGAGAATGCAGATCCACAACTTCACAACTGTCTCCTCGGTTCTTTGAATGTCTTCTCCCATTACCCCGCCCTTTCCATTGGGTACCCTTTCGAACTCCAGATGGAGAATCCGTATTGTCAGTGCACAGAAAAACCTTATCAAACACCTCTGATAACTCAACTGCATCCTCATAAACTGCGGAATGCTTACTGCTCCTTTCTTCCCTTGGCTCACAATCATCATCTTGGAAGTGATGCTTCTTTCCTTTAGCCTTACCTGTATCAAGAACCAACTGACTACAAGCCGGAAAGAACCTTGTGCCTTCCTCCTTGCCTCTATTGAATTGCAGGGTGAACTCATTAGCATAACTTAATTTATATGGAACCGAATTCGCAACTATGAAAGAGTTTGTTTCAGATTTCTCAATGTTATCCAAGCAATGCAAAGATCTATTTTTCCTATCCGGCGTAGTCAATAAGTCAAGATGAACGCTGGCCAGAGATAGTTTTGATCCTCCTGGGTCAACATTACACAGGGGAACGGTGTCATAGCTCATACTAATGGTGCTTCCATTTGTCCTGTAATCACTGGAGCGCTCAGAACTGTTGTTGGAAAAAACAGGTTCTTGATTAGAGGGTGATGGGTTCTGATGTAGAGCTTCATAAAAGGAATCCTCAGCAGCTCGAAGCGCAATGGGATCATAAGATGTGCTCTGATCATTCTCATCATCCTCAAGCAGTATTTGGTTAAGGTACTTGATCACAGGATCAGATTCTGGCGTAGAAGCATTAGTACCGATACCAGTTGAAGGGGCATTTGTGACATTGAGAGGTAAAGATTCATCTTTGGAGCTCTCTGCATTATCCAGTGGTTGTTTTAATGTGGTAAAAATGATCTCTTTCCCCAACGAATAATCCATGATCCTTAAACCTATATCTTACATACATAATACATATGGAAGACGAGTAAACAGCCCGGCAACAAAAATATATGAACAAAAAAAACTGAATATCACACAACACAAGAACTTGTTAAAAAAGAATTACTAACCTGCAGATACGTTGAACTGATCAGGAGGAAAACTTATAAATTTCAAATTATAATTGATAGGAAAAAACAATAAAACATAATGTATTTGAGCAAAACAGTCTAAATCAGTGAAGTGAAAAGAATAAATCAAGTAACAGAAAAGGCAAAAAAAAAAAAAAAACAGAATGCAGAACAGGATTTCATACCACATGAGTTCAGCAACTTGTGAAAGCAGAATGAAGAATTGAGTGGAGGCCACCTTGTGTATGATAGAGCATTGACTTGTGAGATACCATGAAAACAAAGGCAACTATCTCCTCAGCATCTAATACTATTTAGGAGCCAAAGTTCAATGATAGCTTTATTGGAAGTCCAAATACCTTTTGACTCAAATACAAGATGAGATCAGATCTGAAAAATCAAAGTTCAATGAGTATAATGTACAATTTTTAGAGATAAAAGTCTTACTTTGAAGCATATTTATCGGAGTAAATTCTCAAAATGGTACTCAATAAGACAATAACTATGTGTTTTCTCAAATTAGTCACCAAAATTAACTAATTCCTAAGATGGTACTCGTTAATTGAGAATCATGCTCAGTTCAATCTTCCCGACTAACGGCCGTTAAAACAACGTTAAACTTTATGCTACTTTCCCAAAATAGTACTCTCGAACTGAGTGTTTTTACAAATTGGTCCATTTTTGAAATAAAAATATTAATTATGAAAAAATATTTTAAATTTATAGGATGACAAAATAATACTAAAAACTATAAATGTAATTTTATAATTTTTAAAGTAAACATTTTAGATTATTTACAATTATTAAGAAGAATATCATGTAAACAAAATGCTTAATAAATGTTAAAGAAGTCACCATAGGAGTAAAACATAGAGAAAGAATTAATTTGGTACTTTTTATATTTTACTCCTGTTTAGGGTGATATTCAACTAAATAATTGTAAATAATCTAAAATGTTTACTTTCAAATTTATAAAATTATGTTTGTAGTTTTTAGTATTTTACTGTCATCTTATAAAATTTAAAATATTTTTTCATAATTAATGTATTTTTATTTCGAAAATGGACTAATTTGAGAAAACACTCATTTAGAAAGTACCATTTTGGGAAAATAGTAGAAGGTTTGACGTCGTTTTAACGTCGTTTTAACGGTTGTTAATCGGGAGGAATGGACTGAACATTATTCTCAATTAACGAGTACCATCTCGGGAATTAGTTAATTTTGAGGACTAATTTGAGAAAACACATAGTTCCTGAGTATAATTTTGGGAATTTACTATATTTATCGATATAGTTCCTTTTTTGTCTTTACTTTTTGAGCAGTGTGAGACGCCACGTCTTTTCCTTTTATTTTCACTTCTCTTCCCTCTTTCCCATTCCCTCCCTTTCCCCTTTCTTTTCAATTTTTTAATTGGAAAAATTATTCAGAATAATCTCAATTTTACTCAATTTTTTAAAAATAATCACACATTTGAGTGTGATGTATAACAATCTCAACTATATTCAAATTTGTGAGTTTTGGGTCGCCGTTAAGTTGCTAACGACGAGTTAATGGAGACGACATGTTTCGCGTAACAAAATGAAAGTTGGGATTATTTTTGATAAAGTTTCGTTTTTAATTTTTTTAAATTTTCATTTAAATTTTTAAAATGACTTTCTACCCCCATTTCTTTTTCTTTTTTAAAGATTAGTCATATTTTAGAAAAAAAATGGATATAGAAAGAACAAAAATGAGAAAAATAACTAAAACAATACAAAATTAATGAAATAAATAAGATAATCAATAGAAATTAAACTGGTAAAAAAATAAAATAAAAGTATAAGGAGTGGAGGGTTCTAACATTTTACCCACTATACAAAGTATTAATGTACTATCTATTTTTTGAAACAACGGGTGAATTTGGGATTGTTGGACAATGTGCTATCATGAATATGTATTTTTGCAATGTCTTTTGCCCATTGTCTTTTAGGTTTTGATAATGACAAAAGGGTGACAAAACATCATCATCATTTTGTGCATCAAGGCTAAGAATCAAAGCTACAATAAGTTCATACCCGTTCGTGAAAAAGGGACTTGAGCATCAATGGAAGGAACGAGACCGAAGAGGTTGTTTCCTTAGTTGGGTAGTGTTTTAGGTCTTAGATTTTGTGTTAAAGAGTATGGCATCTCTAAGGTTCATTCCCTTATCATTCTACCTTTAAAACACATTTTTTTCAGCAAACTATTCGAATAAATTGAAAACTATTCGAATAAATCCCTGAAATTCTATTCTGACTTAGTTGAATAAATCCAGAACTAGTTGAATAAGTCAGATTGCAGTTTCACCAAAACTAGTCGACTAAGTCTTGACTTAGTCGAATAGTTTGACAGTTTCAACTACCAAACGGCTAGTTTTTTAAATGATTTTCATTCCTATCCACTTCCTAACTTCTATAAACTCTCTATCTCATATTTTTGGCCAAGAATATACATTGAAAACACTTCAAGAACATATCCTTTGAATATCCCAAGAGATTCTACTCAATCCCCTCCTTATATCCAAGCAAGGCAATTGTTTTGATTGCTAAATCATTTCTTGCTTGAGTTTTTCCTCATTGCTTGAGTCTATGAGAGATATTGCCATATTCTAAAGGACTTCATTGTATTTGCAACAATCTACTCCGTGTTGGGAGAATTGCTTGGTTGCGGTTTGTTTTCTTACTTTATTGTAAGGGTTTTGTATTCTTGGTGTTGGGATTACACCAAGTGGTAGAAATCCTAACGGTTTGTGAAATCAAACGTTAGGTGGAAGAAATCCTGAGTTTTGTGAAATCAAAACTTTGGTGGTAAGATAAGAGACTTGTGAAATCAAGTTCTCGAGTTGTATTCGGATTGTCAAACTCCGTTAAGTTTGGCGAGTTAGTGAAATCTCGGGCACATTTTGCCTTGGGGACTGGATGTAGGCATTAGGCCGAACCAGGATATATCGTTGTGTCTCTCCATTCATTTACTTTCATATTTCCTTTGGATTATCTCCTGCGTTTTTTTAAAATACATTTATCAAAATTTTTATTTTTCCGATAACACCTCTATTCACCCCCCCTCTAGAGGTGTGCAAGGCGTCTAACAGGGATCATTTTAGATAACTTTTTCTAACAATAAGTAGTACATTAATGCTCTGTATAGTGCGTAAAATTTTAAAATCCACCACTCTATATAATTTTTTTTATTTCTTACCAGTTTTAGGTTAATTTTTATTGATTACCTTATTTATTTCATTAATTTTGTATGATTTTAGTTATTTTTTCTTATTTTCATTATTTTTTATATCTATGTTTTTTTAATTTTTATCCAAAGTTAGACTAATCTTTAAAAAAAATAAAGAAATGATGGAGGTAGAAAGTCTTTTTAAAAATTTAAAAGAAAATTTCAAAAAAATAATAATAATCAAGAAACAAAAATGAATAAAAAAACAATCCCAACTTCCATTTTGTTGCACAAAACATGATGTATCTGTAAACCTGATTTTAGTAACTTTACGGCGACCCAAAATTTGTAACTTTCATTAAAGTTAGGATTATTATGTATCATAGTAAAACGTGAGATTTTTTTAAAGACTGGGTAAAGTTGAGATTATTGTGGATAATTTGTCTTTTTAATATTATGTTTTATTACTTAATTTGATTTAATTACTTCAATTAAAATTTAAAATTAATTGTTTCATTGAAAATTTAAAATAAATTGCTAAATTAAAAATATAATAAAAATCTAAGAGTACATAAAAATTGAAAAATGCATTAAAAATGTAAAATTACATGAAAAATTAAAAATGCATTAAAAATGTAAAATTACATTAAAACAAACTATTCAACATATGGAAGTGGTGGAGCATAATTCCAAAAATATTCAACCAAGTCGACACGGAGATGGTGGTGCATATATGTGTTTTGCAATGCAAACATGTTGACGTCCTGTTGTGCAACATACACCGGTTCAATGTTCTCAAGGATGCCATTTGGATCGTATTCGCATATCACATGCATACAGAACACATCGCAATTTCTATAGTTAGAATGTATGGGTCGGGTTTTGCACAATGTGTCATCTATGCTTCAGAACTCCAAATGCCCATTCCATATCTTTTCTTGCTGATTCTTGATATTTGGCAAGTTTCTTTCTTTTGTCAGCTGAGGCGAGTAATATTGTTTTTACGAGATAATACCCATTTTTGTATTCGACCCCCAAAACCGTAAACAACGTATCGGGACCAATCCCCTATACAATGTCATTAAGAATCTGTGATTGGTAAAGAACATTCAAAAACTAAATCAAACGTTCTATAAAACAAGGTGTGACAAGAATATTTTATTTTATCAAATGATCAATAAAAATATGCAAACATACAAAGATTATCGAGAGGCATTAATAGTAAGAGGTAAATCATAATTTTGAGACGGAGGGGGTTGTAACTAAAGATCATGTAGTTGCATATAGCTAAATATAAATATAATGACTGAAGCAAGATATATACCTTGAAAAGAACTTGTGCTGCAATCTTACAGTGCAATATATCTATCTATCTATCTATCAAAGCTTGTTAGTTTGGGGAGCAGGTAGGCACCCAACAAGCGTTAGCACAAAGAAACCGACCTTTCCACCCATGCAGTATCCAAGGACCATCTTCATCAAGCAGGAACTCTCTGCGATACCCTGCATTCATGCCTATCAACTCCTTCAAGAGCTGTGGGTTTAAGGGAAGAGGCCTGCCATCATCATCTTGGTGGTGATGCTTCTTTCCTTTAGCCTTACCTGTTTCAAGAGCCAACTGACTACAAGCCGGAAAGAACCTTGTGCCTTCTTCCTTACCTCTATTGAATAGCAAGGCAAAGTCATTAGCATCACATAATATATTTGGAACCGAATTGGCAAATTGGAAAGAATTTGATTCAGAATTCTCAATACTGTCAAAGCAACGTAAAGATCCGTTTGAACAATCCGACGCAGTCAATGACTGGAAAGAAAAGTCAGGAGGAACACTGGCCAGATACTTTTTTGATCCTCCAGGGTCAACAATACACTGTGGAACAGCGTCATAGACTCATAGCATATACTAATGGTGCTCTCACTTGTCCTATGATCACTGGAGGCCCCAGAAATATTGTTGACAAAAACAGGTTGTTGATAAGGCGGTGATGGGTTCATATGTAGGGCTTCATAAAAGGATTTCTCAGCAGCTCGAAGCGCAATGGGATCATAGGATATGCTCTGATCATTATCATCATCCTCAAGCAGTATTTGGTTAAGGTACTCGATCACAGGATCAGATTCTGGCGTAGAAGGGGCATTCTCTGCATTATCCAGTGGTTGTTTTAATGTGGTAAAAATGATCTCGTTCCCCAGCTCGAATCTAGGCAGCGTGCTCGACCGATGATCCATGATCCTTAAAACCTATACCTAATTACATGCATATGAAAGACGAGAACAAAATAACTGCATATCACATAACACAAAAACTTTGTAAAAAAAAAAAGAGATTACTAACCTGCAGATACTCAAACTTTGTAAAAAGAAGAGATTACTAACGTGCACAAAAACTTTGTAAAAAGAAGAGATTACTAACCTGAGAACAAAATAACTGCATATCACATAACACAAAAACTTTTTTTATTTTGGACAAAGTGCTGTGTTAAAAATTCACTTGAACTTTTAATTTTCGGAATTTTTGTATAAAGTTTTTCCGAAAAATTGCGCCTCTTCTGGTTTCGCGCGACTAGACGCAAATGTTAAGAAAAGAGACGCGACCACATCTCTTCTCCTTCTCAGCTTCTATAAGAAATCCGTCATAACCATGTTCGAAAACAGGGTGAGTTTGGAAAAATCCATCGTAACACATATTTGTTCTTGATCAACAAAGTTTGAGTTTTATCCGATTGATTTTGGAGCGAACACCCAAACAGTCAATCTGAAAGTGCTATCAATCTGAAAGTGTTAGCACGACTCTCAAACAAATCCGAGTTATCTTCTATTTCCCCAACACGTTTCACACTACATAAGAAAATTACTAACCTGCAGATAAGTTGAACTGATCAGACGGAAAAACTTATAAACTTCAAATTAAAATTGATAAAAATACAATGAAAACAAAAAATTTGAGCAAAATATTCTAAATCAGTGAAGTGAAAAGAATAAATAAAATAGCTTTATTGGGCAGATAGTATTGACTTGTGAGATACCATGAAAACAAAGGCAACTACCTCATCTGCATCTAATACTATTCAGGAGCCAAAGTTCAATGATAACTTTATTGAAAGTCCAAATGCCTTTTGACTCAAATGCAAGATGAGATCAGATCTGAAGAACCAAAGTTCAATGAACACAATGTGCAATTTTTAGGGATAAAAAATCTCACTTTGAAGCATATTAATCGGTATAGTTCCTCTTTTTGTCTTACTTTTTGCCCCCTTTTGCGCTGTGAGACGCCTTCCCGCTTCCGAGCACCGGCGACGGAGTTCTCCGGTCTTATCCCCATGAAAGGGTTTGCAGCTGATCTAGGAAATGACTATCGGGGAGATAGCTTTGGATATGATCAATAGACTCAAAGAGTCAAAATTTATGAGCAAAGTAGAAAACGTAGAATAGAACATGGAGTTAAGTTGGTAGATTTTATAATTACATACTATAATTGGTCATTTATAATAGAGCCTTTTTATATTTAGCCTTCTATTATCAAATACGGTATTACCTTCGTAATCCTTTTTTATGGTACTTTTCCACTAAATAGTCTTTTTTTATACTTTCTGTCATGTTGATTTTAATTTGAAAACTAAAAGTATAATTTGACACCAACTGTAAGTCTAGTGGCGTATTCTGATATCGACTAGACATACAAGACAACAGTAATAACTATGCATGTGGACTAGGATTTTGATTAGAAACAACATCTTTAGACTATTGTCGTAGTAAACAGCAACTACGATTCAACGATGCATTAAGAGTACCTTCTGCATTTGATGTATCTATATATATATATATATATATATATATATATATATATATATATATATATATATCTTTATGTCTTCCATTTTGATACTTTAGACAATCATATTTGTATTGATGAATTAATTTTGTTATGCTTAAACTTTTTTTATTTATTTAAGATTTGTTGAATCTTATTACAATATATAAAATGTGTTCATGCATATGTAGTAAATTTGTACTCCATATTTAATTAATGGAGTAAAATGCTTCACAAGCCTTTGAAAATATTATTTTTATCGAATCTGATGTTTTTTTCAATTATTTTGATATACTACTATGATAAAAATATTGAAATGCCCCGAAAATTAGTGTATTAGTGATTAATTAATACTTCCATATGATAAAAGTATTGAAATGTCCCAAAAAAATCACTTGCAAATATTTCTCCATTTGAAAAAAATTATGGTCATCCGTCTGATTATTCTAATCTCCATGTCTTTGGTTGTCAGGTGCCACACCCACAGCCTATCCCCATCTCCACCACAAGATTGACCATAAACTCCAACATCATTCCAAACCGTGTATCTTTCTTGGATATGAACCTCTCACCAAAGCCTATCGTGTCTTGATCCCATAACCCACAACGCTTGTGTCACTCATCATGTTCGCTATCTCGAATACTCTTTCTCTTACAAAGTGCCAAGGAATTCCCTAATAGCATCATCACCTTCCTCGTCTTATTTTGGCATTCTTCCTCTTTTTGCACACATAACAACCGTATCGTCGAGGTCTACTCACACAAAACGTCACTGCGCTCGTAATTGATCCAATGGGTCTTTGGAGGTTGGACTCATTGTGACCATATGGTTGTACTCAACCTTTTGGGTCCAACTCATTGATCATTTTTAAAATTTATATATAGGCATTATGCACAAGTGCACAACACACACTCACACAGTGTATCTAGCACACCACACAAGTAAAAGAGTGCCAAACCAGAGAGTATGAAAATAGAGGGAGTTAAGGAGTAGTTCAGTTCGTTTTTTTTCTCACAACCAAAAGAGTGCAAAAGGAGAAGTTTAAATGCTTGCTGATTAGACATCTAAGAGACAGGAGCTTTTTCTCATGGAGCTGTCTTTTTCATTAGAGATTACAAACATAGTTTCTTTTCCCTTTTAATTTCTTTGAACCAAACATAGTTTAAAAGCAAATGAAAAGAAAGTATTTTTTGAAGCAGAGTCTTTTTGTGTGTGTGTGTGTAAATAGAGTTCTATACCAGTACATCTTTGCATCAATTCAACAAAAAATGGTGCTATACCTTGTGGTAGTGAGGGGTTCCTTCTCATGTATACAAGATGGAGAAAACTTGAAAGAGAACTATATAATGCAGAAAAGTAGTAAGTCACTCTTTCTGACCTGACTAATGTGGGGTTATACTCTTAAGAGTGTACTTGTTTATGATGTTTTTTCTTTCTTTCTTACTGCCCAACCAAATAGACCATTGTTGTTTCTATTGAAATTTCCCTAATGCTGTGTTTCAACTGCAGACGCTTCAATATTACCCAGATGCTTACGACTCCTGCAAGTATGTTATCTCACATAGTCACACCACCTTAGTGTGTTTTTCTACATCGGATATATACCGAGGTTCCTTTCCCTTGTAAGGGCATTATGATATTCAAGGCTGTTTTAGGTGTCCTTAGCCAGAATACAAAAGGGCTCTTATAGTGATTAAAATATTAATAGTACTTTAGATCAAGCAATGTGACCCCTTTGCAGCACACTACACTCGAACCAACACTACAAGTTCTTGAAGCCCCGAGACATTTTGAATCGAGGGAAGTATAGGGGTAGGGTTTTTACCTTTTGTAAATTTGAAGAATGGTCCAAACATGGTAAAATCTATTGTGGATAGCACATGCCAATCATAGTAATTTCTATAGACCAAATAGAAGTAGTAAATTTGTTGTTTTAATTTTTGAACAGCGTAGGAAAGAACGTACCAAGTATGTCAATACATCCAAATGCTAAATTTCATATAACCAAATAAAAATAGGGAAGACGAATTTATTGTTGGAACAAGCTACAATAGAAATTGCCTCTGAAAAGGATAAAGACATCTAAATCAGACTTACAACAAAATTCTAAAGCTAGAATTGAATGAAGAACAATATTTCTTTATTTAAAAATGCAGCACATAGTGATGGAAATAGCAGCAGTAAACATTTCAAGAATACAAACAATTGTTTTTGTAAAACTCAAAAGAAGCATAGCTTAAAAGTGTGTAAACATACCAAGGAAGTTGAGCAGGAACTTGAAGAGATCAACAAAGAACACGAACTGTATTTAGACGCCTGTATCAAGCATTAAGAACTAAAATCAAAAAGTCAAGCATTAAAAAAATTGTTCTAAGTTTCTAATCGTATACGAACCATCAAAAACTAAATTCAAAACACCAACCAACAATCCAAAACAAAGACATGAGGTAGGATACAAATACTAATCAGATGCAAATAGAGAACATGCTTTTACTATAAAAAATAGGAAAGAAAACGAAATTTTCATAAATACAGAGTGTAATTGAAACCAAAAGAATTAAAGTGTTCGAAATTCAGTTTTTTTGCTAAACCTAAATTCATATTCTAAATTGAAGTAAATGTTTTACAAACTGACTCAATTTAGAAACTGACGGAATTGTGTAACTCTCAAATTGTGAAACTGATTGAATTTTAACCCGAAAAATTTCAAATAGCTAATTAGTATGACTGATTTTGAAAAGTAAAGAAGACTATAATTGATGAATTGAATGGTATGAAGAGGTACGAAAAAAAGTGGAAAAAAAAATGCAAACCCAAGAGGAAAGATGTAGCTGAAGACAAAAGTTGAAGGGCGACGAAGATATAAGAAGTGGGTTTTGGATCGTGGGGCGGTGAGCAGCGAAGAAGAAGAGTGCCGGTGGGCAGCGAAATAGCGGTGGGCAAGTAGGAAGAGAGGAGAATAGTGGAGGCGAGAAGACGGAGAACAGTAAAAGCTGTTAAATTGGACAGAAAAAAGTCGACTAAACAGGGTCTTAACCCTATTAGCCCCTTATATTACTAGGGGAGATGGCTGAAGAAAGAGATCTACCTTGAAAAGAACTGGTGCTGCAATCTTACAGTGCTATATATCAATCAATCATAGCTTGTTAGTTTGGTGCACAGGTACCCAGCAAGCATTAGCACAGAGAACCCGACATTTCCACCCCTGCAGTATCCAAAGACCATCTTCATCAAGCAGGAACTCTTTGTGATATCCTGCCTTCACCTTGCCTCTCAACTCCTTCACAAGTTCTGGGTTTATGGGGAGAGGCTTGAACCCAGCCCTCATAATGCGTGACTCGCACTCCTTCAATGTTTCGGGCCTCTCCACTCTCTCCGCGCCCTCACATGCAACAACATTTATTATTTCAGGCACAATATGCTGTTGTTCGAATTTCACTATATCACTGTGGTTTTTTATAGTTTCATCAAACAAGTCAAAGAGGTCAGAATAGAAGCAGAGAGCATCTCGGAACTGGCTTACAAAGAAGTGAGAGCTGTGCGATCCTAACAGCGTAGCGTGCACGTATAAATGAGGGCTTGCTACCCGGATTAGGTTCAGAACAGCATCCTTGGGGCTGTGTGAAACTAAAGCTCTCTCATCCAATATGTGTCGGAATCGGAACAAGCAGTTAACAACAACCACCTCACCACTCTTAATCTTCAAGTTATCAACCTTAACTGTCTCCCATTCATTGCTCGTAATGGCATTGTACTCAAATGGAACGCCGTAACGCTTGCAGTATTCAGCCAAGCGACAACCAGTCTCTTCTACCATTTGTGCCGGACGAAAACCAGGTTGGGGAAGCTCAATTCCAGTTATTCGAAGTTTGGGGGGACCACCGGGTCTTTGTGAGAGATCCCGGATGAGAGTGGGCCACTGGATACCGTAATTAATGCCAAAATCAATTACATGCAGTGATGTGCCCTTTAACGCTACATCGTAGATCATTTTATTCGCAAAGAAAATCGATATCCTCATGGTAGGCCAAGATGTAAGGTGGCTTTTTAACAACTCACTAACAAACTCTTTATTTCGCGTTACGGCCACATATAGTTGTGCGCCAGTTCCATTGAGCCGTGCCTCGAGAGCATTTGCAAATGCATGAGCCATCCTTTGGATTGCATTGCCAGTAGGGGACGAGTTCTGCATGATCACCTTCAATAGATCTTTTGTGGTCCTATGATCAACAGCAGCAATAGATTCTGCACAGCTGATTAAAAGAGATCGTAGATCTACAACTTCACGACTGTCTCCTCGTTTCTTTGAATGTCTTCTCCCATTAGCTCGCCCCTTCCGTTGGGTACCCTTTCGAACACCAGATGGAGAATCCATATTGTCATCACACAGCAAAACCTTATCAAACACCTCTGATAACTCAACTGCATCCACACACACTGCCGAATGCTTACTGCTCCTTTCTTCCTCTGGCCTGCCATCATCATCATCATCATCTTGGTGGTGATGCTTCTTTCCTTTAGCCTTGCCTGTATCAAGAACCAACTGACTACGAGTCGGAAAGAACCTTGTGCCTTCCTCCTTGCCTCTATTGAATTGCAAGGCAAAGTAATTAACATCACTTAATGTATTTGGAACCGAATTGGCAGATAGGAAAGAATTCGATTCAGATTTCTCAATACTGTCAAAGCAACATAAAGACCCGTTTGAACAATCCGACACAGTCAAGGACTGGAAAGAGAACCCAGGAGGAATACAGGCCGGAGATAGTTTTGATCCTCCGGGGTCAACATTACACTGGGGAATGGTGTCATAGCTCCCACTAATGGTGCTTTCACTTGTCCTATAATCACTGGAGCGCTCAGAACTATTGTTGAAAAAAACAGGTTCTTGATTAGCGGGTGATGGGTTCTGATGTAGGGCTTCATAAAAGGATTTCTCAGCAGCTCGAAGTGCAATGGGATCATAGGATATGCTCTGATCATTCTCATCATCCTCAAGCAGTATTTGGTTAAGGTACTCGATCACAGAATCAGATTCTAGCTTAGGAGCATGAGTACCGATCCCAGTTGAAGGGGCATTCGTGACATCGAGAGGTGAAGATTCATCCTTGGAGCTCTCTGCATTACCCAGTGGTTGTTTTAATGTGGTAAAAATGGTCTCGTTCCCCGGCTCAAATCCAGGCAGCGTGCTCGAACGATGATCCATGATCCTTTAAACCTATACCTAATTACAAGGAAATAATATGAACAAATTAACTGCACATAACACAAAAACTTTGTAAAAAGAAGAGATCACTAACCTGCAGATACCTCGAACTGATCAGACCTAAGAACTTATAAACATCAAATTACAAAAGACAAGAAAAAACAATAAAGACAAATATTTGGGAAAAAAACTATTTTCAAGTCCAATACCAGCACAAGAATTCAGAAACTTGTGAAAGGGGAATATTAAAGTCTTACTTTGAAGCATATTAATCGGTATAGTTCCTCTTTTTGTCTTACTTTTCCCCACCTTTTTCGGGGCGAGACCCCTTCCCCCTTCCGAGCTCCGGCGACGGAGAACTCCGGTTCTACCCCCATGGAAGGATTGGCAGCTGATTGGACAAATAGTTTTGGATATGATCAATAAACTCAAAAACTCATAAATTATGAGCGTAGATTAAAGAGTATGTAAATTTCTTAAAATTAAGTTTATTTTAAAATATAATTTTGGTGTATAAAATTTTTACAAAATATAATTATTTAAAAATATATTTAATTTATGGACAACGTGTGTACTAATTTGATAAAAAAATCAAACTGTAATGATTATTTTGGGACGAAAAAATATTTTTTTCACTTGGGTAACTTCCCATGAATCTTGAGAGTAGGCTTCATATTACTCAAGCAAGAATTTAAATAGGTTTATAATTTATGAAAATATTGTAATAAAGTTATTAATGTTCAAAAAATATTTCTTTAAATGGACTAAGTTACTTTGTAGTTAAAAAATGATCTATTTAGTTCTGAATTTGATGATTTTTCAAATGTTTTGATACTCCTTCTACCTCCATAGATCTTTCACTTACGCCTAACGAAACTTGATTAATTTTATTTTTAATTTAATTTATTTGACTGTAGGTATAAAATTTAAAAATAAAATTTATATAGTAAAAGAATTACATGAAAAATTTAACAAAATAGAAGGTGACAAAATTATATAATTTTATGAAATTAATAGTAAAAATAAGCAAACAAATTGATATATATTTGATTATGTGAATAATGTATGGGAAGACTAGTCTATAATAAAAATAGAGAAATTTACCTAAATAGGACTAAAACATAATGACTTTCCCAATATAAGACCATATGTTTTTATTTCCCAATGTAGGACCTTTGGTCATTATGAAGTAGTCATTATTCAAGTAAATGTCCATCATTATTGGACATTATTCCTCTCACTAGGTCATTATTAAGTCCTATTTAAGGAATAACAAAGTTTAAGTTCTACATTAGGAAAGTCATTATGTTTTAGTCTTATTTAGTACAAATTTCACATAAAAATATATGATAAAAGAATTGTAATGCCTCAAAAACTAGTCTATTGCGATCAATTAATTTTAAATAATTAATAAGTGAGTGAGACAAATCGTGTTATTTTATTTTTTATTATGACATATAAGTTTTGGGAAAATATTGATTTTTCCAGATAATGGATGCTAAATCTACCAAAATTTATGTGGAGTAGGTGTTAAATGAAAGTATAAATTTAGATCGGGATAAGATATAGAGACAATTTTTGTAGTGCCCTTAAAATAATAAAAGTGACTCTATTGAAATAGATGTATATTCATTGTGGACGAATATGCTAGAGCCAGAGCCTACATTTTATGGTCTCGTCTAGGGGTGTTCAATCGGATCGATCCGATCCGATCCGAAAATTCGGATATCCGAAAATTTCGGATCATGTAAAACTCATTCCATATCCGATCCGAAAATATTCGGATATCCGAAGATATCCGATTTTTCGGATCGGATCACTGGATTATCCAAAAAGTTGAGTTTTTAGCCAAAATTTACAAAAAAAAAAAGGTAAAATAGCAAGATCAACCCAAAATATCAAATTCAATATAGATTTACTAAAAGAAAAATTTCACCACTAAGTAATGGCCTAATAAAAAAATAATATCAAATTTAATTTGGGAGTAACTTTGGTAATTTTGCCTAAACAAACAAAAAAACATTATTAAAACTAAAGATTCTAAAATGCTAATGCAAAAAGTCCAAAATGGTTGAGTTCCAAAATCAACATAAACTTACATTTAAACATATAGTCATAATATATATCCATAAAAAACCAAAAATATAAAGCAAAAAAAAAAATCGGATATCCGGTTATCCGAAAAATTCCAGAAATTGAATCCATATCCGATCCGATATTTTTCGGGTATCCGATCCGAAATATCCGAAAGCTAAAATATCGGATCGGATATCCATTTTTCGGATCGGATCGGCCCGGATCGTGGACGGATATTTCGGATCGGATATTTTTGAACACCCCTAGTCTCGTCTCCTTGCCCCGCAGGTTTGGCCTCCCTCGTCAGCCCATCGTGGGCCTAGTCATTAGTGGCATTGCTCAAATGTGCATAGATTTTTTTTGAATACTAATAATTTTATTACAATATATCATTTATTTATACATTCTTAACCTATTAAAGCTCGTAAATTTTTACCTGAATTGAGAATTAAACACGTGAACTCTTATTTGAGAGAGTCATGCCGGTGTAATTGGACTACAAGGTCTTTGGTTCAAGTGTGCATAGGTAGTTGTTCGGTAGTGAGTGTTTGGCTACACCTAAACACCATATCTGTTTGGGTCTGGCCTATTATTGATCTATGTCTATTTATACCCTCCACCCCCTTAGACCAGTGGTAATACTGGTAGCGCCAGGCGTTAGGAGAGTTTTGACGCCTGGGGGGCGTGAAACACCGCCCCCCTCCCAAAGTACATTTTAAAAAATGGTGGAAAAATCAAAAGTTTTTACCACAAAATAAAGAGTACCCAGTAGTAATTTTCTAGGAACAAGAAGATGAAAAAATAACGAGCAAGTGGATATGACTGGGGATGTACGGAACGTCCCTTCGGAGTGAGTTTTCGGATATTTTAAGGTGTCCCGGAGTATATGTTAGAAAATGATGGGACATGGAAGTTCTTACCCCAAAATTGAAAGTACCCACCAACATTTTTTTAAAAAAATAAACTAACAACCTAATGAATAGTTATGCAAAGAATCAACTTGGACGGAAGGAGTCATTGTAAATTTGTAGAGATGATGTTGGCTAAAACATAGAGATTGGCAGATGAGTACTAGTTAGTGGCAAGGCTAACTAACGTCACCATATCTGTTGAAGATGGATTTATCAAAAACTGTGAAGCCTGAAGAGAGTTAATAAACAAAGATGAAGATGGAGAAAATTATGACAAGGCTTTGTTAACTGCATAGTTCCATTTTTTTATTATGAAAGTTCCATCCTGGAATAGAACAACTACAAACTAAAGATCAATCTATCTATCTATCATAGCTTGTTAGTTTGGTACCCAGCAAGCACTACCGCAAAGAATCCGACCCTTCCACCCATGCAGTATCCAAGGACCATCTTCATCAAGCAGGAACTCTCTGTGATATCCTGCCTTCACCTTGCCCCTCAACTCCTTCACCAGTTCTGGGTTTACAGGGAGAGGCTTAAACCCAGCCCTCATATTGCGCGATTCCCACTGCTTGTATGTTTCAGGCCTCTCCACTCTTTCTGCGCCCTCACACGCAATGACATTCACTATTTCAGGCCCAACAACTTTTTGTTCGAAGCTCACTGCGTCACTGTGGTTTATGGTCGCATCGAACAAGTCAAAGAGATCAGAGTAGAAGCAGAGAGCCTCTCGGAACCGGCTTACAAAGAAATGAGAGTTGTGCGATGCTAACAGCGTAGCTTGCACGTATAAATGAGGATTTGCTTCCCGGATTAGGTTCAGAACTGCATCCTTTGGGCTGTGAGAAACCAAAGCCCTCTCATCCAATAGGTGCCGGTATCGAAACAGAGAGTTAACAACCACCACCTCACCACTCATAATCTTCAAGTTATCAATCTTAATTGTCTCCCAGTCATTGCTTGTAATGGCATTGTACTCGAATGGCACACCATAACGCTTGCAGTATTCAGCCAAGCGACAACCAGTCTCTTCTACCATTTGTGCCGGACGAAAACCGGGTTGGGGAAGCTCAATTCCAGTTATTCGAAGTTTGGGTGGACCACCGGGTCTTTGTGAAAGATCCCGGATGAGAGTGGGCCACTGGATACCATAATTAATGCCAAAATCAATGACATGCAGTGATGTGCCCTTTGAGGATACCTCATAGATCCTTCTATTCGCAAAGAAAATCGAAACCCTCATGACAGGCCAAGATGTAAGTTGGGTTTTTAGCAACTCACAAACTAACTCTTTATTGGGTGTCAAGGCTGCAGTTAGTTGTGCGCCAGTTCCATCAAGCCGTGCCTCAAGAGCATTTGCAAATGCATGAGCCATCCTTTGGACTGCATAGCCAGTAGGTGACGACTTCTGCCTGATCTCCTTCAATAGCTCTTTTGTGGTCCTATGGTCAACAGCAGCAATAGATTGTGCACAGCTGGTTAAAAGGGATGGTAGATCCACAAATTCAGACCTGTTTCCTCTTCTCTTCGAATGTCTTCTCCCATTACCAAGCCCCTTCCATTTGGTACCCTTTCCATCCTCAGATTGAGATTCCATATTGTCACTGCACAGCAAAACCTTATCAAACACCTCTGATAACGCAACTGCATCCTCACACACTGCCGAATGCTTACTGCTCCTTTCTTCCTCAGGCCCGCCATCATCGTCTTCGTGGTGATGCTTCTTTCCTTTAGCCTTACCTGTCTCAAGAACCAATTGAGGAAAGAATCTAGTGACTTCCTCCTTACCTCTATTGAAATGCAAGGCAAAGTCTTTAGCATCCATTAATATACTTGGAACCGAATTAGCATATAGCAAAGAATTCGATTCAGATCTCTCAATACTGTCAAAGCAACGTAAAGATCCGTTTGAACAATCCGACGCAGTCAATGACTGGAAAGAGAAGTCAGGAGGAACACTAGCCAGATATTGTTTTGATCCTCCAGGGTCAACATTACACTGGGGAACAGTGTTTTTACTCATACTAATGGTGCTTCCACTTTCCCATTGATTAGGGGGTGATGGGTTCTGATGTAGGGCTTCATAAAAGGATTTCTCAGCAGCTTGAAGCGCAATGGGATCATAGGATACGCTCTGATCATTCTCATCATCCTCAAGCAGTATTTGGTTAAGGTACTTGATCACGGGATCAGATTCTGGCTTAGGAGCATAAGTACCAATGCTCCTAGTTGAAGGGGCATCCGTGACATTGAGAGGTAAAGACTCATCCTTGGAGCTCTCTGCATTACCCAGTGGTTGTTTTAATGTGGTAAAAATGATATCGTTCCCCAGACCGAATCTAGGCAGCATGCTCATTCGATGATCCATGATCCTTCAAACCTAGACCTAATTACATACATATGGAAGACTAGTAAAATGCCCGGCAGCGAATTAATATGAACAAAATAACTGCATATCACACAACATAAAAAAACAACTTGGTAAAAAAAAGAGATTACTAACCTGCAGATACGGCGAACCTATGAGATGGGAAAACTTACAAACTTCAAATTACAAATGGTAAGAAAACACAACAACAAAAAAAAGTTTGAGCATGAAAAACTAAACCAAATAGCTGAAAAGGAAAGAAAAATACAGAATGCACAATAGAGTTCAATGCCACAAGAATTCAGCAACTGGTGAGAGCAGAATGCACAATTATATATCATTTGAGAAATTAAGACATTAAGAAACAAAAGTCTATTAGTTCAGAAAGCAGTCCAGAGAGCTTTATAGAAAGTCCAAATACCTTTTTGACTCAAATATAAAAATCAGATCTGAGGTAACGAAGTTCCATGAATATAACGGGCGAATTTTAGGGATAAAGTTCTTTGCTTTAATGAATATGAATGGGTACAGTTCCTCGTTTTTTCTCTGATTTCCCCCCTTTTCCGCTGTGAGAAACCTTCACAATTCCGAGCACCGGCGACGGAGTACTCCGGTTCCACCCCCATCGAAGGATTTGCAGCTGATCTAGGAAAAGACAATCGGTCGGGCGGGTAGCTTTGAAGAAGATCAATAAATACAGAACAAATAAAAAATTAGGAGCCAATGAGAAAAAATGGAGTTGCATACTTGCATGACTTCAAAAAGTTGCTTTTCTTTTCTTTGATCAGCTGCAAAAACCATAATTATTGTTTTTTTCTGGTATTACTCCCTCCGTCCCCCATTTGATTACAAATTGCGGGCTACGGAGTATAATTTCTTACTTTTTGAAACCATTTTATTTACAAATTGGTATATCAATAAAATATAAAAATTACATATTAAAAAACTACATCAAAAGTTCTACAAAAAAGAGGTGATAAGAATATTTTATTTTATCAAATACTTAATGAAATCGTGAAAACAATCAAAAGTTATCGAGAGGAGAGAGAAAAAAATTGTAATCTATTTAGGATCGGAGGGAGTAAAACAATTCAAAAAACAAAGCATATTGAGGGAAAGAGTCATTTTTGTGCTATTTACGCATGAACTTTTTAAATATTATGCGGATCCATCTTGAACTTTAAAAATTGTGCTAATACCTCCTAAGTTTAAAATTTTTGCACCAATGATCCCTCTGTGCGAGATTTTCAAGTGCGTTAATTAGACGTCCACCAATATACATGTTGGAACTTGAGAAAGATGTCATAGATTGATGAAGAGGTTGATCGATTGATGACGATCTTTATCAACTGATGTCTGACCTTTGAATTAGGTTACCGACGACTAAGTCGAGAATAATTATTTATGGTTAAAAGAAGTTAAAACTATAAAAGATATTGTTTGGAAAGGGCATATTGCAGAACTACATATAATATATGACCTTAGATTAATTCATACTGGCATAATATAAGCGTGTCATTAATACGCTCCCAAATCTAACAGAGAGAGGTCATTGGTGCAATATTTTTAAAAATTCAGAGGACATTGGTGCAATTTTTTAAGTTCAGGAGGAACTCATATAATTTTTGAAAAATTCAAGGATATATGATTCAAAAAACTCTTAACAAAAACAATAAAAACATTTGTTGAATAAAAATCATTTTATATTTTTTTATTTTAGTTCATATACATGGTATGTAGGACTTCATGCGTCGCAAATAAATTGTTCTAATTTTCTTTTTAGTTCTTCCCAAATTAATTATTCTATTTTCTTAGTTACCTAATCAACTAAAGAGTATTTGATCCATATTTCTTTTGGCAAATTTTTATTTGGTCATTAGATTCATACTTATTTTGTGGACCTTAGTACAAAAATATCATGTAAGAATTGAGTTGAGTAAAATGCATTGTTTACCCCGTACTTTTTAGAAATTGCATGTTTTACCCCTGAACTATAAAAATTGCACCGTTTACCCTCGAATTCCTTGAAAATTGCACAATTTACCCCTGCATACTAAAAATGCACCAAATACCCTTGAACAAATTAAACCGTTGCATCGTTGGTCATAAACTATTAGATAGGGAGTGTGTTGCTTCCACGCACAACAATTGCGAATATGATTCATGTGACCCTTGTGATTTTTCCAAAGTACCTTTCCCCAAAATTGTTGTCTTTATTTAAGTGTTTAGGAGTAAACAGTAAAATTTTTGTAGAGCTTAGGGATATTTGGTGCAATTTTTATTGTTCAGGGGTAAAGCGTGCAATTACTAAAGAATTCAGGGGTATTTGGTGCACTTTTTAATGTTCGGGGGTAAATCGTGCAATTTTCAAAGAATTCAAAGGTAAACGGTGCAATTTTCTCGAATTGAGTTTTATGTGGACTTCAGTAGAACTTAATTTTTCTCTTTTATAAAAATAGATTTCAATCACTCACATTTTAATTTTGTAACACTTTTCTTAAATTTTGTGAAATCAAGCTAGAATAAGTAATGGGGATATAGAAATATATATTTTTATACTAAAACTAAAAATGGATAGATATAATAAGGGATATGGTGTATGGTTGTAGAGACGAGCAAAGGACTAGCATCGAAGAAATGGGTTGTGATATATTAAGACTGAATCGGAAAAGATTGGATCAAAGTGTCCCTTGAAAACGGGATGGTTCAAGACCGTAGTCTCATATGGTCGTTAGATTTTGGTGAAAGATTAAATTGGTCTCGTCGCAACTTGCAAGTATTTTTTTCAAAAAACCCATGACCGAACTAGGATTACAGTTATGACATATTTGAAATATAATTTACATATGAAATTTAATTTTTATACATATGCATTTGTTCTATCAATTTAGAGTTGTTATTTATTTATTTAATTGTTTTATTTTACTTGTTTTTTAATTTTATTTATAATAAGAATTATAATTATAATAATTTTAATCTATATTTTGAGTTTGTATTTTTATTTTTTGATTTTCTGATTTTTCTTATTATTTATTTTTCTTATTTATTATATTTTACTTATGATTATTAATTTGTACTCCGTATCATTTAAAATTCAATTGGGTATTGCTAAATCCATTCGAAAATGGCTATATCACAATTTTTTGTCTAAATTTGTTAAATCCACATCCATTAATATAACTTTGACATTTGTGTGCATTTTACAAATTTAATTACATTAACCATTTGGGGAAGAAATTTAGTAGCACGAAATTTAAATTTAATTACAAGATGAAAAAAATTAACAGAAGAACATACTTGGTCCGTCCCTGAGTGTTTGTCCACTTTTGACTTTTGGAACTGTTCATCTAAGCACTTTGACTCATCAAATTCTCTCAATGTGTAAGCCTAAAAATAGTCATGTGTGATCTTGTTTGATTCGTCTTAACATATAGATTATTAATATATAATTTTTATAATTTTTTAATATACAAATTACAAGATAAAATGGATTAAAGAAATGCACTGGAT